AGAGAGATCATTGTCTTTCTTACACTGGGATATTTTACCAGGGAGCGGTGTAGCAGAATGAACGACTTGGGGAGGGATCAGTGTGGAAAGGTGCCAGACAGAATTCTTTCTGTAGAGGATAAAGAAATTCACATCCCTTCAAGATGACTTGTTTTGTAACCCTGCGATTTTGAAGCACTTTCAAGGGGAAAAAATAAGATTCTGTGTTATATCACAGCAGTAAAACTGACTGGACTACGAGATTTTGTGTTTATTAAACGACATTGTCAACAGTTTTGTTTTATTTAGTGTATAATAACAAATCCCAAGATAATTGTGAATAGTTGTTGCTAAGTTCTAGCGGTTAGAACGCTGGCCTTGTAATCCTGGGGTCTCGGGTTCGATTCCCGGCGGTGCCCGAATTTATAACTTGTGTTGGGCAAGGCCGTGGTTTAGGCAACACGGAGTTTTCCTCCGTTGCATCCCAACAATTACTCCATTCACGCACAGAAGAAGGCAATGGCAAACCGCTTCTGGATCATCTGCCAAGAACGTATATGAACAGGTCCCAGTCCGAGAAAAGGATGGAAGGATCCTGTTCATATGGACCTGTCGTCAGACAGAACACTAAATAAAATAATAAATAAGTTTATATATATGTCAGGAAAGTTTACGTAATTGATACACTAAATTATTATGACGATATTATTAATTAAACTAGTTTTAAAGCGTCAGTTGTGAGTCTAGACTGGAACCTGTATATTGCCACCATCACACTTTTCCTTTGAAAATACATTGGCTTAACTGAGTACTATGGCAGTATTATTGATTTGACTACTTCAGTTCTAAATCCGTTTGATTACGTGTGTTGATGAAGTACAATATCTCGTCAGGTGAGATAAACCGTAGTCTTAGTAGGAATAAAGTTGATGACTCATTTCCTGGGCTTTGTCCAAGTCTACATCCAGGATTCAACTAAAGGAAGTTAATGTACACCCATTTAGAACAATTAGAGCAATTAAAGACGAACAACTTCAAAACTACACTTGTAAATGTTTTGTAAACCTTGTTAAACTTTCGATAAGTAATGAAATAATATGAACAGTGTCTTACTGCATTTGATCGGAAATTATTATTTTGGCATTAAACTTGCGAGGGTGGAATTTGGTTAAATTTTGATGTTAGAATGTGGGGAAAAATTCTGAGGGGGTGCATATTACAACCTGAAATTCATATGTCGACTCAGTATATTTTGTAGGACCGAGGAAAACCACGAGAGAACGTGATGGATTTGACCGATCACAGGATCTACTGACTTGTAGCTAGCAGTAAGAATTTTATTAAAGTAAGCAAAAGTGTAGAAGTTGATGACTGTTAATCATCTGTATTCGATAAAAATAAATCTAGATTTCTCAGCTCCATCTGTTCTTAATGTTGGAAGCTGGAATTATCCGTTTTCGTCCGATACTGACCTCTCGTATACCAGCTTCAAAATCAGTAAATATTTTAATTTTGATTTTAAGGTCGTGACTACTCTTTGCCTATCAGTTTTGTTAATTGACTGCGCAAATATGGCCATTGATTTTATAATTAATATAAATAAGTCTACGGATAATGAGGGCTTACTGTTTGTGTAATCCTAAATACAAAATAGTGCTATTTTTTTATAATTACGAGATGTAATTGCATACGATTTTTCAAGCTTGTTAGGAATATACGGGGAATAAAAGCTTACGTTTGAATGTTTTCGCAGTTTGCAATGTGGAAAGAAAGACGAGGTAATATGTCAGGAAGGAAGACTTATTTTAATCCCCAAACCACGTGGGTAGAGCCATCGTCTCAAGTTTATGCGTGCAACACAAAAGGAAATCTCTTCAAGAGCACTTCAAGGTTGTTTATTATCGCTGTTGAAATCTCTGCCCCGCCCACAAACAAGTTAGCAAGGAAGAAATTACTACACTACAGTCAGAAATAAGGTACCTAGGTTAAATATTAATATTTTAACGTATTTTGCTGACAATAATGTAAGATTCTATAAAGTTACTTAAACAAATATCATGCGTAGTCCTAGATTAAGACACAAGACCACATACTTGAAGTCTGCAGATCAAGGTTTTGGTTGTTTCACGAAATATTTTAGTGGTAATATTTCTGCATCGTAGAGTAAGTTCTTCGCCCATTCGGAGTCTCTTCTGCGCAGGCGCGCGGAGTAATACGAAACAGTCACATCTGCTACCCTGTCTCGGTAGAAACGTAGACATGTTAGGACAAATGTACATTTAACGCGTTTTAGAATTGATTGTTGGTCTTGTGTTAGATCACACGGACAACAGCGTTCAACCAGAAACACCAGCGTTATACCAATAAACACAAATACTAATGTTTTTATGTGTATTAATCACTAATTATACATAATTAGTATCATATTTCGTGTGTTTTTGGTTTCCCTATAAACATTTTTCCTATGAGATCTTAACGCATAGAAATGTTAATTGTTCTCGTGATAGTAACCTTCAGCTAATGATTACGGTTTGTTGTACAGAATATGAAATTACATGTGCTTTAAAATGTACTAACTTGAACATTTAAATATTCAGAATAAAACGCACTACGTGAGTGAAATTACAAAAATATGCCACTGAAGCTGTTTAACATGGTACATCAGAAATTTTCGCATGATATTTGTAGGAAAGAAATCTACAATTTTTGCATTTGTCATGATGTTATAATGCGTTATTTCAGATCAGAATTTTTTTATGTACGTCTCATAAGAGAATGCTGAAATTATGGCAAATATTTGAACAGTTTTGTTCTGAGAATTGCGATAACTTTTCGAAATAAATTACGTAAATGTGCTATTTCAAAGATTGGATTACTTTTTTCGTCTTATATTTTTGTAGTAGGAAAACATTACTTAAATAATGGGGTCTCGGGTTCGATTCCCGGCGGTGCCCGAATTTATAACTTGTGTTGGGCAAGGCCGTGGTCTAGGCAACACGGAGTTTTCCTCCGTGGCATCCCAACAATTACGCCATTCACACACAGAAGAAGGCAATGGCAAACCACTTCTGGATCATCTGCCAAGAACGCATATGAACAGGTCCCAGTCCGAGAAAAGGATGGAAGGATCCTGTTCATACGGACCTGTCGTCAGACAGAACACAAAATAAATAATAACGGAAGTCCTTGCCGAATACTTAACACACCTTCCTCATATTCCGAGGGTCCTGGGTTAAAATCTAGGTCCAGAGACTGGCTAAAATGACTGAAGTTTCTTTTTTAATTCCAGGCAAATTCCATGATATCTTGAAAGACGCCAAGATAATTTCAGATACTTTCTAATTCAGTATTCAACTTTTCGGAGGAACATACTACCTACATCGTCAACATTGAAGTGCATACAGACATTATAGAAGAATGTGCTATCTCCATATTCATGCTTGAATTGTATATCATTGCTTCGGAGATATACGTCGTTTTCGTCTTTAGTACGTATTTGACTGACTTGACAAAATGTAGTCTACAGAAAGTTATCTGTACTTCACAGTTTCATAAACCTCTTTTGGACATAACTGGAGCTGTTACTGGCGTACAGGGGGATAAGAAACTACATTACGTTCATAGGAATAAGACAGTTGATGTAAATAGAAACACCCTGTAGCTGATAATGCGTTCTGGGTTTTATAAACCTCATTTGGACATAACGGGAGCTGTTACTGGCGTACAGGGGGATGAGAAACTACATTACGTTCATAGGAATGAGACAGTTGATGTAAATAGAAACAGCCTGTAGCTGATAATGCGTTCTGGGTTTTGGCGCCGTGTAGATGCAAATGTTACAGAGAAACATATTTTCTCTGTCTTTACGGACTGCTGATGGAGACTTTGACCGAAAGTTTAGCATCAACTAAAGAGCTTACTCGACGTCGAAACCCAGAAAAACATCGTTCCCCACCCCTGAGAAAACCTCGAATTCTATCAGTCCTTACAAATCAAGGAGTTAAGTGATGGTAAAGCACTCTGGTATCGTTAAGTCCGCTGTCTAGTCTCGGTGAGTAGATAGTGGTAGATGGATTAGACACTTCTAAAAGCATCTTAAAACCTGGATTTATGTTTTTCTAACTCACAGTGACAGAAAGATGACCAATTGTGTTTTCGTCCCAAGTGACCAGAACCATCATCTGCCCTCGTTCAAAATATGATCAAATTGAGGAATTTGGCCAGATTCTTGAGAGAGTGGAAAGGTTTTCTGCGTTGTGATTAAGGGTAAGGTCTTTGGTTCCCATGTGACGTTCAGCATCAGATGCTGAGTTATGACTTTTGGTTGTCAAAAGAGTTCGTAAAATTTCCTGATCTGGCATTTTGCCCCAAACATTCAGTTCCCGCTGTTTTATCGATTCCCTGAACATTTCCTTTCGATTTCACTGCTGTCTTCGTCATCATAATCATTATTATCAATAGTGACGCATCAAAACCCTGACGTGTTTTTGGTATTAGTTGATTCATTATGGAAATAATGGACTTTATCTCTCGTCAGAGTTGTGACGAAATTATTTGTTAATTCAAACTCATTTACTTTCTTTACTCTAAATGATTTAAAAATATCGATATCTCGTCCATGACCATCTTTGTGTTGGGGTCTGCAGGTGGGAAGAACGGCCGATGAAGATTTCATAGCTGGTAACGCGGAACGGTGAACTAATTTCTCATTAAGTGGGATTTCAGGCTTTCACGGTAGGGACTATGAAAATAACTCTTCTCTGATGTTATGCCGTAGTGTGATAAACGTTTACTGACGTTTCTGAGGTAATTTCTGACTATCATCAAGTCGAATTATAAGAAGAGCTACGAGGAATTCGTCATTGGTCTGACAAAGATTCTAATTGTTCAACCGATTCGCGTATCTCGAAATAAATTCTTTTGTCGCTTACTCATTTCTGTGATGATGGAGGAAATAGCTCCGAAACGTCGGTAAACGTATACCAAACACGGCGAAACATCCCAGAAGACAGTCATCTTGTAATGTTTAATTAATTTGACTGTAGCGTATTCTCCATTAGTAGGATTTGAGGTTTTGACGGCGGGTAGTCTGGTAGACGTTTACCGATATTTCGGATGTCCTTGACGCCTACTTCATCAGGGCGATGAGTAGCTACTGTGTTATTTTGGCATGCGGGTTTATCTTTAGAATTCAGAAATTGACGGGATACGAAAACGTATCAAAATTAGGACAGTAGTAAACTACAGACTGTTTCACACTGAAGCGGAGTATTAATTTTTGATACATTACATAAAATGTTTTGTATGGGTGCGAAACATGGTCTCTCACCCAGAGGGAGGAACACAGATTGCACGTGTTTGAGAATCGGGTGTTGAGGAGGATATTTGGGCCTAGGAGAGAAGACGATGGGGCATGGAGAAAACTGCATAATGACGAGCTTAAAAATCTGTACTCTTCCCCCAATATTGTCAGGGTGATTACGTCGAGAAGAATGAGATGGGCTGGGCATGTAGCGCGCATGGATGGGACAAGAGGTGTGCACCGGGTATTGGTTGGGAAGCCTGAGGGGAAGAGACCGCTGGGGAGACCTAGACGTAGATGGGAGGATAATCTCAGGCGGGATCTATGGGAGATAGGAGTTGAAGGAGACTGGATTTTGTTGGCCCAGGACAGGGTCCGGTGGAGGGCTTTGGTTAATTCGGTGATGAACCTTCGGGTTCGGTAAGCCATCTAGTTAGTGAACACTCATCATAACCCTAGTGTATCTCATACACCAAACAACTTCGTTACGTGGCTAAAATGTTATATTGGTGTACATTACTCATGTCCTCCATGCTTTTATCTCATTTTCCTTGATATATTGTTATGCATAACGTTTTAAAACATCGTATTTCACTACTAAACTCTTCTGTCTATTATTATACAGATATTAACACATCCAGAAGAGCAGATATCCTAAATGGCGTACAAAATATTGTGTGGTAATGCGAGAATATGACAGGATTTCATGCCTCGGTTTGTGTTTATTCATTGTATAAATCTTCATTATAGCGTTTCCAAATCCTTTTGTCTCTAGACAAGAAATCTAGTCTCTCAGGACTGAGTCTACTTAGCTTAATACAAACAATTGAAAATTATAGAGCTGAGACATGCTTCGGAGCAGTTATATATATTAAATTTGAAAAATTCCCCGTTCTGTTTGCAACAAGCGTTGTTTTCTGTATCGTAAAAAGGGTGCTGTAGAATGCTGTAGAATGATGTTCAAAGAGCTAGAAGTTCTGTGATGCAGCCATAAGTAATCCTGATGTATTTCAGCCATTAAGCGGTACGGCCGAATACGTTTGAAAAGTCGCCAAGTTTCTACAACGTCTATCTGACCAACCGTAGAAAAAAAATTGTAACTAGAATGAACTAGGTTTTTTAAAACTTTGAATTATTATTTTGATTCGCTCTTTAAATGTATTGTACAATCACATATTTTTAGACTCTGTGCAAAGTATGTAATAAATATGATATTGAATATTGGTCGAGTGTAGATACTTGACTTGTATCTGGAAATATTTATAGCATTTGGCTGTGAGTCATGCATTTTCTGTCGGGATGTGACAGTTACGTTTTACTTTATCAGTAAACGCAATTTAGCTATTCGTGTTTAAGGCAATGGTGAATTTTTAAGATTACATGTTTTAATTGTGTCGAATTATATAATTCTGAAGACGGCCTCGCACTAGAAGAATTTTGTTTTTGGAATATCTGAAATAAATCCTGTACTCTGTATCCCGTACAAAAACTTAACGAACATAATTACGTAGGAAGTCTCGACGTGTATTAAGATATATTATAAAAGCGATACAATAATTCCATTTTCTGAAAATCTTAATATACGTGTCTGAATTGTGAGTACAGACCAATTACAGGATACGAGGAACCAGTAACGCAATTATTTTTACTGTACATTTATTTACAATGAAACACAATATATTACAAATCTTAATACGTATTTAATTCCTTGCATTTAATAAGTTATTTGTGCTTATTTTAAACAGTTTCCTAACGTTCCATAAATCAGTAAAAAAATTTATTACGAAGGGTCAGACGACATTATTTTATTCCAATATAATGTCTACAGTTTGGAAAATTATACTGAAAGTAGTAGAAGAATGGTATAAGTAAGTGGAAAGTAAGATGCTATCATAAAATATAGACAGATTTAGCTTCCTGAGTAATTATTAATTTCTACAATCAGTACTAATGTCTCGTTTTTTACCATCAAAATTTATAATATATTTTTGAGGGCATGTCCGTACGATGTTAACTTTTAAGACTGTTATTACGAACAGCAAATCCCTTTCCAATGACCTCGTGATACTGAAACAAATTTAGCATAAAATTTCAATGGTTAGAATTAATGCAGCCACCTACCCTAATTCCAGTTTCATCGAACGATTCCTTTACGACTAAGCTCCGAGTGCAAGCTTAAACCAGGACAAACGCTGTTGGACTCCACATACACGAAGCAATATCACGAGAAAGATAAACAACACTGCAAAAACACTATAGTAGAGATGGATAAATGGATAGAACAAGCAGATTTCACTGAAACAAAGACTGTCCAGTGAAGATGGTAGACCCAGATCTCCAAACATACAGTATTCAGTATAAAATAAATGTAATTATAATAGCAGGGATCAATGTTTTCTCAAGCGGAATGATTGATACTTTTATAAGACATATGACAGAATATGTTGTGGAGAAATCAGTGATAACGTCACAGGTGTGATAAATTATGTATTTGCTTACTCAGTGTATCCTAAATTATATCAATATAATATTCGACGTTGTACAATGTCTGAAGTTTGTAGGACTATTATGCTGGACAGAGTTCATAAAATAAAGTTGTCTCACTATACGCCATGTAGGCGCTGGGGGGGGGGGAAGACCTCAGCGCCAGATGGGGGTGAATGGTCAGTATCACGACCCGTCCGCGATTTAACCTCTGTAACGTCGATCACATTTTATGAGACTTGTAATTCTGGCCCGAATTTATAACTTGTGTTGGGCAAGGCCGTGGTCTAGGCAACACGCAGTTTTCCTCCGTGGCATCCCAACAATTACTCCATTCACACACAGAAGAAGGCAATGGCAAACCACTTCTGGATCATCTGCCAAGAACGTATATGAACAGGTCCCAGTCCGAGAAAAGGATGGAAGGATCCTGTTCATATGGACCTGTCGTCAGACAGAACACTAAATAAAATAATAATACAGTACAACATCCAGAATACAGTCATTCTTAATACATTTCATTTCGAATCTCTAGCAAGTAAAACTTGAGCCTGTTACATTCAGACGCTATGCTAATTTGCAGATATTTCTTAAATCTGTACTTGTAGAGTTTATTAATTAATGTTTGTTTTCAGTACGTAACTACGTCGACTAACCAGAAATAATGTAATACAAATTAATCGCGTTTATCATCCCACTTTGTAATTTTCGACATCAGAATATGTATAGCTTTCCTTGTTCACTATTGTTTATGCAATTTACAAAATATGGTTTACCCATTGTATTAAATTTTGAATTTCAAATAAGTAATT